TGACTTAATTCTTTAGCATTTCATTTTATGGGTTAGTTTTAGTGATGTGAGGATTTTTTTATGATTTGGGAAATATTTAAAAAATGCGTTATAGACATTAGGTGACACAACAGTACAAAGAAAAGGTAAAAATTGTATATGTTTCCTGAATGTGAGTATGAATGTTAATCATGTAATATTTTAATGAGGAATTATCCTTTTTTTAATACAATAAACATAATTAGTCTTGAATGTTTTTTTTTTAATTTTAGTTCATTTATATGTTTTGGAGTTTAGTGTGACGTCACTTTTCACTAAACTAGTACTCAATTTTATCAAGGGGTCATCTGATGACCATCTCCGGGTGCGGGATTTTCTCGCTGCGTTGAAGACCCATTGGTTGCTTTAGGCTGTTATCTGCTCTTTGGTCGGGTTGTTGTCTCTTTGACCTGTTCCCCATTTCCATTCTCAATTTTATTCTCACATTTTAATAATAACAAAAGAAGATGTCTAGGTAAATGCATTTAAGACAACAATTTATTGACAAAAATAAATCAAAAGACAGTTCAATATAATAATAAAATACTGGGTTTACGTACACGAGACAGCAACACATCGACCCAATAAAATGCAGTTCGAATTGAATGAAAAAAAATGTCGGGTTAAAGTATATGAGACAGCAACCGATCAAGAAAAATAATACTGACAATATTAATATAAGAGGATGTTTGGTATATGTATATTAGACAGCAACCCGTCGAAAATGTCACCAACAGACAGTTGAAAATGATTAAACGTTGTGTTGGGTATACATTTAAGTGACAGCAACCGCTCTACAACATAAATAAAAAAACAGTTCAATTCAAACAAAAGAAGATGTCGGGTATACGCATATAAGACAGCTACCCATCGACCAGATGTCCCTTAAGACGTGTCAATTTAAAAAAAAGAGGGGTGGGGTGGGGTGTATGTATTGTAGACAACTCAACAACAAAATAAAAAGACAGTTCAATATACATGAAAGAAGATGCCGGGTATAAGTATATGAGACAACAGACAATCGACGACATTAACAAAAGGACAATTCAATATAGATAGAAGAAGATATGAGACAGAAACCCATAAGCAAAATTAAAAACTTCTCACCTAAAGTATATCACTGTGACCTATACAATGTTTTTCTTTCAATATGCTTGAAACATATGTTAAACTTTGACAATTTTGTATTAACAACACCTAATTTCCTAAATGACACAACAATAAGACATAATAAAAGTTAACGACAGGACGCGTTTCCTTATGGAAGCAATTAGGGGCGAGGTTTAACTAGATTTGTTCAGATTACAATCATACTGCAAACTCATTTCGATTACGGGAAAAAAACTTATTTAATATTGGTAATATACTGAAGACAAACGTTCTATCACCAAACAAAAATGGATTTCTCATAATCACCCATCTATCTTGAATTCACGGAAACTTTTTGAAGTTTTGAATGTCTGCAAGTACTTTGCACTTTGTACATATCGTATGATATGACTTTGACCACGTGGTTAACACAAGGTCTTATGTTGTTATATAAATAGGTTATCAGTTCGTTAGGTAACATTGCACCAAAGTAATCACTCGAAGGATTTTCTGGAAGGATATTTGAAGAAGTCTAATTTTATAATGGCAAATTTCGTAGTTTACCTGTTATGTCTTAATATTGGTCTAATATCTTCAGTCTTGATGCCAGGATATCAAAGGTGAGTTTTCTTGTAAAACGTGTTTAATTTCTTTATCAAGATGTCATTAAATGAATTGTTTTAGTTTACTTCGGTATAAAGAGCCATTGCTTACGGTCAGATGCTCTACACAAAAATGATTATTGCACACAATTCTTCAGTCATAAGACCCCGATAAGAAAATTACAAACATCAGCAAAATCTTTGAAAATCGACTTTGGAACGCAGATAATATAAAGGTTAATTGCACTCGGCTTGATTGTTTAAATTTCAACACTCCCATTTAATCCAATCGTTTCTATGCTTTGAATATGAAATGAAAAAAAAATTATACGAAGAACTTTATCCTAATAAAACATGCTAAAGGGGCTGATGGAAGACCTTTTGTCGTAAAGAACGACGTGACACTATCTATATAATCATGATAATAAGAAACATAGTTGAAGGAAATAATAAAATCCTGGATATTTAATTTGTTATCAATCAAAACCTCAATCAAACAGACCATTGAGTATAAATAGTTTTTTGTAGCAACATATAGTCGTTTATACATATTATCACTAATAAAATGATTAGTAAAAATAAATTTGTAACATCAAATTCAGTAAAACTGTCGCAGGATTGTACGATTTGAGTCATTTTATTTTGAAAACATCTGTCTGCATGCTACAACCCTTTTAATTTGTTCAGATCAATTCCAATAATAACCTACGACTCTCTTGTTTCATACCTAGAAATTGGTGCCGAAGTAAGATACTTCTTTAACATATCGAGTTGTCTACAATCCGCTTCGCCTCAATTCATAGACATTCCCGTGTTTGGAGGTGAAATCAAATACTTCAGTGCCAGTAAAAACTCAGGGGAGAATGCAGGACAGTTGATATTCAGCAACGTAGACTACATCAACGAAAACGGTAATAATTAGTTGTAGTTCTTTCTTATATTAATCGCACTACTGTATCACTAGTGTGTCAACACTGAGGTTTGAGTTCAATTCCCGCACGTGGCAGGTGAGCTCTACGTATACTCGAAACTCCAATCTTAGTTGACTAGATCAGTGGTTCTCTCCGGGCTCTCCGGGCTCTCCGGGCTCTCCGGTTTTCTACACTAATAAAAATTGACCCGCCTCGAAATATCACAACAGTTCTGATAACACAAATCATTCAATCAAGCCATCAATTAATCAATCAATCAAGCAATCAATTAATCAATCAATCAATCAATCCTTATATAAGACTATTATTTCTCGTCGTTAGTTTTTTTATAGTAACTGATGGGTCTCTTTAGAAAATATGACATGTGTCTCGATTCTTTAAAAAAAACTGATCTGTCGAAATCAATCTACCTATTTACAGCAATCAAAAAATTATGTTGATCGGAGAAAAAGTATACCAAAAAAAAAATCTTTATTTTATACATGACATTAAAAAATCATCCAGACTTTGCAGACGTCAAAATGTAATCATTCTTACATATTTAACAGAGATCATGGAAATGGTACTCATGATAAAATTAAACAAAACGTTATTTGCACAATATTTGTGTGGGTCTTTTTTTATTTTGTTGCATTATCTACTCATGACCTTTATAATGAAAGAAATGGAATAACACTTATTTTACGTGAACGTTCCAACGAAGACTTCCAGGGTTTGACAATCAATGCAAAAAAATCGAGAAGAACCTACAAATATCTGCAATAATAGAAAAAAATAAGAAAAAATACCACTGAAAACAGTTAAAGTTTTGGACGGACATCCATTTTCTAATTTTTTTTTCTCAGTACTCTTTTCGCAATTGTAAAACAGATTATTAAGGAAGTTAACTCTTCCCTAAACATCAAATACCGGAGCTGCGTAAAACAGCTAAAACATTCAGCGAAAATACTGTTTGAAAAGTTTAAATCTATTATAATGTGTATTTAAATTTAGATTTAAATAAAGAGATACATACACTGTGGATTGTCAATGATACTGCAAAGGTATGTTGGGCACAACCTGGAGTTTTTATAAATATTACCGACAACATATTAGGAACATATTGTAAATGGACAGAAGGACAAGGAAGGTAAGATAGATTGTCTGCAGCATATATTATTGGATAAATACAAGCACCCTATCAAATTTTAAAATATGTCTTTTAGAACAAAAATTAACAGAAATATTGAAATAAATCGACACTTACACCAGTCTCTTTTAAAAATATTTTGTGCATTTTTTTGGTCTATAGTTTACGCTGCCATTTAATTTGAGGGTGTTGCCAATTAACCAGGAACAAGTGTTTGATTGTCAAATTATATACGATATATATTTGTATCTTCACAAAACTCCTGTTCCACCGTATCCACTAAAAAAGACATGGAAGGTTCCCTCCGGGGTTTTTTCCACTTGAATGTGGTAATTAGAATAATTGTTGAAAGTAACTAGTTTTTGAATACTAAGAATTTTAAATAAGGTACTTAAAAGATTTATCAACAAAGTTGATGCAGTAAGTGTTTATTGCTTAAGTTTACAGTATTGATAGAGCGGTGTAATTTTAAATGCATTAGTATAATTAAACATCGAAGGATTCGTAACACAAAAAACATTGGAACACAATATGCAGAGCTTTATCGTAGAACTTTGGGTTTTGGTCAAGATTTTCCTTCTTGTACTTTGTAAGAGGACGTAGTTAAAATTTGCAAAATTCTTGCCAAATTTTTGTTTTGAACTATGTTTAAGCAATTATGAATTGTTTGTGACCTGTTAAAATTTTAAACAAACAAAATGTTGATACCCAAAGTTTACATATACAGTTGTAGAAGTGTGAACTGTAGGACACACGGAATACTAAAACGAGATCGCTACTGGACGTTAAGCTCTAAATTAAGACTTTATTACATCTTACCAGATAAAATAAATTAGCATGCGTTAACTGTTATTATAAAGTCAACTTTAAGTTAGTAGTCAATGTCTTAGTACTAACATGATTTAAAAAACATGTTTTTTCTAAGATTAGCTGTGGATAGTTTAGCAATTATTTAGAATCTAAGGTCTGATCAATTTAGACAAAGTTGACCTGCTATTGATAAGGCTATTGTTTGATTTTCTTTAATGTCATGATCTTTTCACGTATTCCACGTAGGTGTTATACATCCTTGCCTTTTAATTTTTTGTGTTTTATCGTTTCTTTCTATCATAAATTACGTTTTCCAGTGGTTTTACGTTCTTATATATTTTTTTGGTCGAGCGTTCATGATGAAGGTTAACCATTATCGTCATTTAATCTTTACAGCCTATGGGTAAAGCATCACGCAAAACAAAGAAAACTGACGGCATTTAATTTGCGCAAGCAGGAACAAATTGTATGATGAGTCTCATTCGATACAGCTTGCAATGCTTCTTATTTTGGCCACACAACAAATGAAGTCAAACTAAATTTAAGCATCACCCTTTCCCTAAATATCGAGTAGTGAACTAAATCAATTGCAGAATCCTTGGTAGAATAAACAAAATTGCCTTACAAATTTAACCTATTTCAACAGGACTGGACCAAAATGTATTCAACCCAGAAGTTTTTTTGAAACAAACGAAAATGCAAAACTTTCCCTAAATAACGCCGTTAATTTGTTCCTGTCTGAGAGTGTAGAACTTAGCAAAGAGGCGTGCGCATCTGCCAATAGGGGTTCAGTGGTTTATGTTTTCCCTTTTAACAATCGTAATTTTATCAAAAATAAAATGTCTTGATAAATATTGCAGTTACGTTATTTTTTTTCGAAAATTGGTGATTGTAACTAACTGAAAATTATCAGCTATTGGTCTTTTTTTATCAGCTCTTTTTCTTCGTACTTTTTTTCTGTCATTTCCTCCACTGCTTTTCTTTTCGTGCACGTTGATTTTCTCCCTTTCCATACAAGTAAAACACCTTTTCTCTCTTCATCTGGTTTAACGGTCGCATTCATAAAACCAATCTCTGTCGTTCCTTCAGGTGGTTCTACAGTCACAGTCATATGAACCATCTTTTTTGTTTCTTTGGGTGGTTCTACGGTCACAGTCATATCAACCATCTTTTTTGTTTCTTCTGGTGGTTCTACGGTCACAGTCATATCAACCATCTTTTTTGTTTCTTCGGGTGGTTCTACGGTCACAGTAATATCAACCATCTTTTTTGTTTCTTTAGTTGGTTCTACAGTCACAGTCATATCATCAATCTCATCATCGGCCACATCCATATCACCTATGATCCACCATTTGCTGTCTTTTTCAATTTCGTTGTCAAAAGTCTTCTTAAACAATCTTTCTGCATTACTTTCACTATTTTCAGAGGAGTTTGATGTTGGATTTTTCTGTTTGTAAAAATATCTTTCACAAATTTCATCTACGTCAGGCGGGTCAGCTTGTGAGAATAATATATTAGTTTTCATAAGAATCCAGGGCACAACTCCGCCGGCCAGAGTTGCTAACAGCTGGTTTGGAAAAGATACGCTGTAGGAATCACCAAAAGCTAATACGACAAGCGTCACGAATAATAAGAATAAGAAAATTACGAAAAATTGTCTCAGGGCTATACAAAAGTGTTTACTGAATGGTCCAGGGCCATCTGGTGTATTTTCACAAATGTTGAAGAAGAATTGTTTTGTTGTATATTGTTTATCAAATTGATCAAACAATAAAATTACGCCATTTGTCTTGAATTTAGCATCTCCATCATAAGTACCGATTGATCTGCACATACTTTTATTAGTAACTTTTAATGCTTTGTTTGTATGTTCTTTCATTTCTTGTTTTGTTATTTCGTCCGCTCGAAGTCGTTTACCGTATATAGAATGCTTTGAACAGCTTTATTAAAGTTCTTATAAATCTGACTAATTCCACCAAAACATCTATTGTAGTACAACCATGCTAAAGAAATGGTCGATATGTACTGCATGGCATGTGACGAATTTAAAATTAGTCCAACCATTGTATATGTCGCTACCTTCATCAAAAATATAACAAATTCAAATGTCAGCAGCACAGACGACAACATCAAACAAAGTAAAAAAAACATCAATCCAATTTTGTATAATTGTAAATTTGGCTTCGTCTCTTGTTGGTCACTTGTTTCTTCGTGTGACGTTGTATTTTCTTGTTGTTCAACATTATCTGTATCTTCGTGAGACGTTGGGGTCTCTCCTTTGTCAGAACAGATATCTTGAAAACTGAAAAAACGATAACAACGGTTTTCAACCTCTATTTGTTTCCAGATTTTATCCAAATTCAATTGCACGTTCGAAAAATATTTAGAAATAAGCATAAAAAGTTAACAGCTATATGAACTGTCGGAAATAAATAGTATGCAGATACGGTGAAAGTAAAAGGTACTGCTAATATCCAGTACGGTACTGCAAAAACTACTCCAAACATTCCACATACAGTAAAGGGCTTCAATAATACTTTTATTGACCATCGAATAACTTTCCCCTTGGACCGATTACACATACCACTAAAAATTTCTGTTAGAATTTTCCGAAGTAAACTTGTAATATTCTTGATTGGAATTACACTGGTCATTTCTTCACATAAGTAACCAAAGCACATGAGAGCATATGACAAAATAAATACAACATGAATTGGTGTCCCGTAATAGGTTACATTGTTCTCAATACGCACAAGAAAATTTCTTGTTTCTGCTGCTTTGTGTCTTGATTCCCGTATATCGTATTCGTAAACATAAAATATACAAACACGTATAATCCATGGTAGGCATATAGCTACTGATAAAACGAAGCGAAGTAAAAAGTGCAATAACTTGTACCATGGATATTTCATGCTAACACATTTACCAAAGATATTTGCTTGACAACAAGCTTTCACACCTTCCTGATTTTTTATTTTGCATTTTTTACAACATGCTGTCACACATTTCATTTTTTTTGTTCTACATTTATTACAACATACTTCCTTGTCTCTTATATCGAATGTTCGACAACATTTTCCCACACCTTCATCATTTTCTATACCGCATCCAAACAAAAGATCACGTAATGCGCTAAATAGGCTTGTCGGGACTTCATTTTCGGCAACAATTTCGTAGGGATGGACATTGAAATACACCTTTGACAATTTGAATTGATGGCTGTTTTCATCGTCAATTTTTTTAAGTTCTTTTTTAAACTTGGTCATATTTTCGAATTTGGAGTATGGTACATATTTTTTTTCAATATTCATTAGTTTATTAAATCTTTCACATATTTCCGTCCAACAGTTTGTTCGGGTTATACTTACAGTGAAAGTGTAAGGGTCTTTAAGACAATGAACAAACTGTTTCGGACCAAAATTTGGATTATACAAGGATGGCGGAATTAACAAGGGGCAATACAACGACACAATTGCAATCACTATGTAAGAGCAATAATGTATAGCCCTCATCCATTTATTTTTCAAAACACGGTTACACTGCATTTTTCCGTTATAATCATAATGACAACATTCATAATAGAATTCAGCTTCTCCAGATATATTTTCTATATGTTCGTTACATATTTCCTCGTATTCCTTTGTAAAATTCAACAAAAACTTCCGAAAAACTATTTCGTATTCCAATTCTGTCAGGTTAGTAATGCAACCTGGCGGTTTAGATTGTAATTCAATGAACGAATCTTCAGTTTCATAGCTAAGAAGCGATAGTGAAAGCATTTCGTAGATTGGTATTAATTGCAGAAGCCCGTTTCCGTGAGTTCCTGAGACACGTTTCCATTGTAACGGTCGAAATAAATCGCTATCTTCAATAACAGAATTTGGGAGCCCTGTGGCGTTGTCTAAATTAAATGTTATTGTTAGTAACTTGGCAGTTTTACGTAAGTTCCTTTGACCATGTCTCGGTTGTTTAAACTTCAGCGTACATTCTGTTTTTGATTTGGAATCTGAAAAAAGAAGATTAACACTGAAACCTATTTCATATATAGTTATTCTATAGTAGTATCAGATGGGTTTTTGTCTCTTTGGCATTCATACCCCCTCTCCTTGTTTTCATATTTGTGAACTTTTGAATTTTTAAATATCTTAAATAAACAAAACGAACATCGGTTTTCAGATCGTAGAAATCTTTTATCTACAGAAGAAATAATTCACAAATGGTGTATCCACAATTTTGATACAAGACAGAACCTTCTTTAATTATGATTACTCAGTGTCAAAATGAAGACAGCAAGTTCTTAAAATAAAATGTTAAGACAGAATTGTAATTGAATTTGAGGTGTAAATTGTGACTCTATTGTTCTAAAAATGTGGCCATTTATTATATTTGGCATGCGCATATATAAAGATAAGCTACGCTTTAGCGTAGTAGCGTCTCTTTTAAGCTTTATTTCGTAACTGACTGTGGTCATCACCAGATAGCAGCATAATACATCACTTTGCGAGAAGTAGTAACTATACACGCATAAATTATCAAAGATTTATATTCTATTTCTCGACGCAGTCATGGTCGTACAAAAGATGTTAGGTATTCATTACACGGAGCTTCATTCATTACCCCTTTCAAAACTTCATTCTCTGTACAACTTATGGTTGCAAACCATTGTTACAAACCCCCCCCCCCCCCCCATTCATACCCATTTAAACTCTCGACTATCATCTCGGATATTGCAAGTCACAGACTTTTCAAACCAGTTCGCGTTGAAAAAGACAAAAAGGAAAACAATCTTTCTAAAACTTAGCTTCGCTAACAAAGGTCTCGATGCAATCAACCTGAGCAACATTTATCATAAATAAGTTCATTAAAAAATACCTCCATATTTTAATGATCAGTCTGTACCTTTTATATCTTACACATATACCAAACCAATTGCAACTAAAATAATCAATTATATACATGTGTTGTAGGATCTTAATATTAACGACTTTGAGCCTAATCCTCCTGACTGCACCTGTGCTAGTTCCCAATTTTTATATAATCTAGCCACGTTATTACTGGTGACATAAACATTGGGAATAACACTTCTGCGAAATGTTTTATCTAAAGGCCCGAAATATCGGGGGCTTAAATCAATCAATTTGAAACACAACTTCACAATACTGATGGACTCAGTCAATGATTGAGCCAGGCAATGGGTTAAACGCAAGGAAGAAGATGTAGATTCTCTTACCTCCATGACAAATATGTTGTTGTCCCCGCAGATAAAGCCCCAAACAGCATCGTTTTTGTGTGTAAATCACATTAGATAAACTGCTTGATAAATGAATTAGGTATTGACATTTCACTTAGAAACTCAACAAATACTCTCATGACACTTTCCAAGGAGGGAATCCCGGATAACCATAGGTCTGTTCTATATATAAAAAAAGAAGATGTGGTATGATTGCCAATGTGACAACTCTCCACAAGAGACCAAATGACACAGCAATTAACAGCTATAGGTCACCGTACGGCCTTCAACAATATGCAAAGCCCATACCGCATAGTCAGCTATAAAAGACCCCGAAATCACAAATGTAAAACAATTCAAACAAGAAAACTAACGGCTTAATAAATGTACAAAAAAATTAACGAAAAACAAATATGTAACACAGCAACAAACAACAACCACTGAAATACAGGCTCCTGACTTGGGACAAGCACAAACATACATAATGTGGCGGGGTTAAACGTGTTAGCGGGATCCCAACCCTCCCCTAACCTGGGACAGTGGTGCAACAGTACAACATAAGAACGAACTATAAAAATCAGTTGAAAAAATGCTTAACTCATCAGATGTGGGTACTAAAAAATTCCAGAGAACGTTAAGAGTACATACAATCTTAGACTCTTTCATCATGCAACAGTATTAAAACATTTGACATTTCTACACTTTACGTAGATAAAAATTGCTTGTCTTAAGGAGGGATAAGTCGTAAAAAAAATTCTTAAACTGACATTCTCAAGATGCCAGATTTGTTTTATTGACAACAGATTTGTTACGTTTGGCGGACGTGTATTTTCAACACACAATCGGCATTCCCATGGAACCTAACTGTGCCCCTTTTGTTGCCGACTTGTACCTTTATTTATATGCGGCTGAATTCATACATAAACTTCTTAGGAAGAAAGAAAGAAGTTAGCAATATCGTTGAACTTCACTTTCCGCTATTAAATATTTGGTGACTATGTTCGACCCATCTATTCCCATCTATCTTGATATAAAGGATAAAACTTACAGTTAAGTCTGCCTCATATCTTGACTTGCATCTATAAATTGACAGTGATGGTCGGTGGAAAACAAAACTTTACGACAAAAGAGATGATTTCAGCTTCCAAATTGTGAATGTCCAATTTCTATGTAGCAACATTCCAGCAGCACCTGCATACGGATACTATATCTCCCAGTTGATACGATTTTCCAGGGCTTGTATTTCCTATCATGATTCCCTTGAAAGAGGGTTGCTGCTAATAAGGAAGCTATTTAACCAAGAATTTCAAGCGGTGAAGTTGAAATCTTACCTTTTAAAGCCATGGCGTTGTCAGTTTATTTTTCGACTGTAGGAGTTTAAATGCCCCATTCGAATTCTTCGCCTCTCTTATATTACGTTGGAAACAATAAGAAAAATACATGACAGTTTATGTATTTCTATACTTATAAATCAGACTAAAAAATAAGCAACTACAACATTATAACAATCAGAACTTTTTTTAAGAATCATTCAAAAGATATTTTCTTGGTTCTTCTCACAAGTCAAAACTAAACTGACAACGCCATGGCTAAAAAAGAAAAAAAAAACCAGACAGACAGACAGACAGACAACAGTATACAAAACACAACATCGAACACAAAAGACTGAGCAACACGAACCTAACCAAAACTTGGGGTGATCTAAGGTGCTCCGGAAGGGTAAGCAGATCCTGCTCCACATATGAGTCTATCCTTTAGTACTGTATTAATATTTCAACAAACCGAACATTTTGATTAGACCGAATGTTCTAAACACAATCTTTTAGTAGAGACTAGCAATACGCAATAAGGTACACTAACTGATTATTCCTTCTTCCACCCAAAGAATTAAAATGCAACAAAACGTACGTTGCGTTGTTCGAAATCAAAATACAACATTTAGATTTCAAGGAAATGATATTCTAAACGGTTAAATAACAAAACATTTTGATTGGGATATAATAGCTAATTTAACAATGTTTTGATCATTGAATTATGTGATCAATATTTCAAAAATAATTCAAATTAGTTAACACAGTTAATATTTTTTCCTAGTAAACCATATTGATCTGAAAACGTCTGACTGAACAACACATCATTAAGCCATTTTTAGTATTTCCTGTAACTTTCAAGCCTATCCACTGCGGTAAATTCCTTGTAGTCAATTAAAATGTATGCAGGCTATGTTCAGAAATGAACAAATACCCTGACAGTGTACAGATTTACAACATACAGAACTGTCTTCAAATCTACTTAAAAGTACTTAACTGATTGCCATCGAATTGTCTGAACCGTACTGAATTACCACAGATGATAATTCTGAAAGTTGGCTAAATTACTGAACATGACTAAAAAAGTATTGTTCAAACTATTCAAATGATGTTAAGACCAAAATGACCGTTTCATGTCGACGATGCATAGAAGAGGAATTAAATGCACTGTATAATATATGTGTTTATTCCCGCCTAGATGTTGTCTTTGATAGAAATTCAGGCACGAAATGTTTGTATTAATGAACTGTTTTAATCATAATTCAAAATGATTTGAGGAATACTGTGGATCGTTGACGGTGGATATTGTTGTTAGCATTACTTCAATTCGGACGATCCCACCTTACAATTCAGTATCAGGCGTTTCAGTAAATGTTCATTTTCATTCAATTTCGCGTTACGTCCTCTAGCTATATTTCCATCTGTAGGCCCTTTTCAAGAAAGTGCACATGACAATATTAAAGCGCAATAGGTCCGGATGAATGCAGACGATCAATACATACAAACTTTCCATCCTAATAAAAAAAAAAAAAAACTTTGGAACTAAAGATTTACGTCACAGTTCATTTTAAAGTTACCAATTACAATAAAACCTCATCAAAATAATTGAAAGAACATCGTGATTAGCATGATTCATTTATTCCCCCGCTCAAACTATACAGTTAATATTAAAGTTGAAAAATGGACGTAACAAAATTGTTGAAAGCCGTACGGTTGCCCATAATTGCTTACATCCACTTCATTTGAACTTTGGTGGATAGTTGTCTCATTATCAATCATTTCATATCTCTTGATTTTTAAAGTATATATCTGCTTCATATTAAAAAAGAGTATTTTAACTTTACGCTAAACAAACCAACCATTAGACTGACCGAGTTTTATGTAAAACTGCAACACATTTATTTCATGAACTAATGAATCTAGACAAAAACCATGCTGAAAAACAAACAGCGTTCGTTTATATTGATAGTAAGAAAATGCAAAGTTTTTTGTTGTTTTAATGCCAGCAAATATTTGATCTAAATTCCTTGTGTATCTATGGTATTGATATGGAATACAGTTCGCTTTACAAGTATATTTGAAATTATCTTATTTCAAACCTTTTCGTTTGAACAAGTTGAAGCCAAGAGATCTACAATTCAAATGTTCTTCCAATAACTTTTAGAAAAAAAAACGCAGATTTTTCAATACTTATTTTGTGCTTAACATGAAAACAGATATCTTTCTTTATTCATGATGGCGGCGCCCATGTGTTTTCAAGAACAAGTATAAATTAACCAAATTGTGGCCTGAAAACTGAAAGTATGAACTTTGAAATATAGCACATAGTGAAATGTAAAGACCATATTACAAATAGAACTATCAAGATAAAAAGCAGAATTGCGGATTAAGCGCAAAACATGCCAAGTCCAAGAGCGCCCAATAACACGAGGTTTAAAACGGGCACCATGCCCTTTCAATATACTC